GTCTGAGGTTTTTTAACAAGCAGTATCTTCTCTGTGTCCAGGTTTGCGATTTTCATGTTTTGTCTGTAGCAAACAGCAATGTTGATATAAATCTCGTTGTTGACTTGTTTTGATCCTTTTTTTTTTTGTTAGGCTAAGTTGAGCAGGCCTGATTTGAAGGGAATAACTGAGGCAAGTCATGATTCTTTAACTTCTGGCCTTTGCTTGTTTTATGCAATATTGTGTTAGTAATGTGCTCATTTGCAATGTTAGTAATGTACTTGGTCAATACAAATACACATTGTCTATCTTGAAATGAAACAACAATGCTCTGTTAAGCATCATGTCTCGTTATATTTAATTTTCTTGCAAATAGATGGTTTGTCTATTCTTCTATGCATGTTGACCTAAGTCTTTAAGAAATTTTTTCAGATGATACAATCCAAGGCAATATTGTACCCAAGAAAAAGGATAGGTGACCTTCCAGGTTGGTTGGTAGTTGTGTTCTGACAACTTTGTTTCTTTTCCTACAACGTTTTGGTCTTAAAATTCTTACACAAAGTTGACATCACTATGTTATGATCACACTGGCTTGCAGGTATTGTCGTTGGACATCGTTTTTTCTCAAGAGCTGAAATGTGTGCTGTAGGCTTCCATAACCATTGGCTAAATGGTATCGATTATATGGGACTTGAATACAAAAAAGTAATACAGCTTGTCTTTTCTTTTACTTGTATTTTGATCTGATTGGATATTTTATTTCGTATATTTATTTATCACTCTTTACTTTTTTTTCTTCCGTTTCAGGAGTATAGCAAGTATGATTTTCCGCTTGCTGTTTCTATCGTTTTGTCGGGCCAGTATGAGGATGATCTAGACAATGCAGATACTGTGACTTACACTGGTCAGGGAGGGCATAATTTAACTGGTAATAAACGACAGATTAAGGATCAACTGCTACTACGAGGAAATCTGGCCTTAAAGGTCTGTTTTATTTCTGTTTCTTATCATTAAAGATTTTCTTCTAGCTCTCTCTACCTTTCTTCTTTGTGCTAGTGAAGGTAGTCTTTTAGTTCATGTGCCTCATGGAATTATGCATTTCTTGCATCTGTCTCAGAACTGCTGTGAACACCACGTGCCTGTCAGAGTAACTCGTGGTCATGATTGCATAAGTAGCTATACCAAAAGAGTATACACTTATGATGGATTGTATGAGGTACTGTTTCTGTATCCCTTTATCTAATATTACCTCTGATTTCCGAAAATTCACAAGGAAAAATTTGTTCCTCAGAAGTCAGAACTACATCTAAGGTCTTTAGTCTTATTGCTTATCCTCATTAATTGGTGTAACTCTAGTCCACTTCCATACTTTCTTCGTATAGGTTGTAAAGTACTGGGCACAAAAGGGCGTTTCAGGATTTACAGTGTATAAGTACCAACTGAAAAGACTGGAGGGCCAACCAGAACTAACTACTGATCAGGTCTGTATGCTTTCTTGTTGTATGGTTTATGATAGCTGATGTTTTAAATATATTTTCATATTTTAATATCCTAGTGTGGATATCTGGTGCAACATTGTTTAGATAAGCTATTTCAAAACCAATAGTTCCTCAATGTTCTGAACATATAATGTAGTTTGTAAAAACCACGCCTTTTAAACTAATAAATTATCTTCAAAACCAAGATTAGATTTTTTTTTCAGCTGAAAATGGTATCATCGTGGTAAAATAACTGAAATGTTTATTCAGTTTTGCTCTAAAGTAACAAAATAAATTGTCTACCTATTTTTCTACAAGATTTTTGTCACTCTTATTTTGACATTGCTATAAAGATGACTCATATATAATATTCTTCCTAAATAAATCCTGGATCCATTCCACACAATTTTTTTTGTCTGTACTTCAACATTTGCAGAATTTGTTAGGTTACCTTAGAAACAAGGTTTTCTTGCATTTCCCTTTTCCCTAGCTGTATTCTTAGTATCTGTACCGAAAATGTGGTCAGCTATTTTCTCATTTACATTTTACTACTAACTGAACTAATTACTTCCCTTATTACTTTATAAAGTTTTTGGTGTTGTCAATTTTCTAATTTTGAATGGCTTCTGTTGCTTTGACAATATCTATTATGTTCAAACTTCTTACATGGCTAAGCAAATGCATATGGTTGTTTACTATGGGTAGTTCTATAATTTGATAGTTTGTTTCTTTTTATTGCAGGTTAACTTTGTTTGTGGACGCATACCAAAGTCTACTTCAGAAATTGAGGGGTATTTGTTCAATTGATTTCCATTTAGTATTTGTGCAATCAATTTCATTTTAACATCTATTCATGCAATGTCTTGTTAAGCTTGGTATGTGAGGACATCTCTAAAGGGCTAGAATTTAAGCGCATTCCAGCCACTAATCGCGTTGATGATTCACCAGTTTCACCATCAGGTAAGTTTAAATCAAAACTGGAGAGTAATATTAGCATTATTAGTATCCACTTAATGATATTATACAAGCTGAATTATCCTCTGTCTGATTATCAGGTTTCACATACATCAAATCTTTGATGATTGAGCCCAATGTCAAAATTCCTAAGAGTTCGACTGGGTGTAATTGCCAAGGCAGCTGCACTGACTCAAAGAAATGTGCGTGTGCTAAGCTTAATGGTGGAAACTTTCCGTATGTCGACCTTAATGATGGCAGGTGATATTCCTTGTCGAGTCATTTACTTAAGCATTTAAATTATTTGGCGTATATCTTTGAACTGAAGTTTGAATTGAGAGTACACAATTAGTATACTTTACCACAGTTGCTATTTCATTTGTATCCTTCTTTTTCCATGAAATTTGACTAGTAAAGTACTTGATGTAATGTTGTATCAGTAACATGTCCAGTTGAATATTGATGGGGTTGATTTTCCGTTTGTGCCTTTTTAGATTAATTGAGTCTCGAGATGTTGTATTTGAATGCGGCCCACACTGTGGGTGTGGACCTGCATGTGTCAACCGAACTTCTCAGAAGCGATTAAGATTTCATCTTGAGGTAAGTTTTGGTTCGTACTTGGTAACTTATAAGGAACAACTAGTTGCCACTAAAGTTGAAACGATACTTTAATGGAATTTTCACCTAGACAGCTTTCTCATAATTATAGAATAGAATCAAATTACATTTGGATTTCATAATATAGTCCCCTACCCTTTATCTGTTAATAAAAATGCATATAATCCAGTGGGTGTCATTTTGATGTCCTTCCAAATCTGAGCTTACTCACAATCTGAAGTCTGGGTTTCTCCCCTTGATGTTTTGGTCTGTGGCCTTAAATAGGTTTTCCGGTCTGCAAAGAAGGGTTGGGCAGTTAGATCATGGGACTACATACCTGCTGGGTCACCCGTATGTGAGTACATAGGAGTTCTCAGGAGAACTGCTGATGTCGATACTATTTCTGACAACGACTATATATTCGAAATTGACTGCCAACAGACAATGCAAGGTCTTGATGGAAGACAGGTACCATAGAGAAGCTTAATTTGCTATGTGAGTATTATTGAATCAAGCATATGGGTTGTTGAGGTATATGCTGCTTGTTTTTCTCTGCCAACAGAGAAGACTTAGGGATGTAGCTTTGCCAACGAGAGTCAGTCAGAGCAGTGAGGATGAAAATGTACCAGAGTTCTGCATTGATGCTGGTTCAAAAGGGAACTTTGCTAGGTTTATAAATCACAGTTGTGAACCAAACCTATTTGTTCAGTGCGTCCTGAGTTCTCACCAGGACCTAAGGCTTGCCCGTGTGGTTCTTTTTGCAGCTGACAACATTCCCCCACTGCAGGTACTGAGATACTTATCTGTGAAGTGTGACTTACTCAAACATTCCCTTTATAAAGAAATCTCACTACATTCTCTTATCTCAACTGTAGGAGCTGACTTACGACTATGGATATACGCTTGATAGTGTTCACGGGCCAGATGGGAATGTGAAGAAGCTCACTTGCTACTGTGGAGCGCTAAATTGTAGAAAACGCCTTTACTAACAAGGCTATTGGATAAAACTCATTTTTTGGTCACTCTATTTTGGGGAGTACATATAAATAGTAACTATCTCCCAAGTGGAAAAGAACCCTTATCATCTTATTGAAGGGGCTTTAGCATTCTTCTGCAGCGTTACAATTAGTGCTGCCTTTTGGGCATTGTTGTTCCCTGAACCCTTTTATTTTTATAGGCATCATCGTATTTATCGGGTCGACAATATATTATCTAATTATTAGTTTTCTCAGTACTTTATTTTCTTATTAAATCTGCGGGTCAAGATATCTGGCGATATAAACAGATATTATTCAACAACATATCAATATCCAAGCAAATTTGATTTCTTCATCATCCAACTCCAATTCAAATGCCTCATTCAAGAAATATAAAAAAATCATAACAAATCTTAACAGGGTAAGTTTGATGATCTTCAACATTCCTCTGGGTCTTCCTTGCTTCTGGCTCGATACTGTCGGCCAGGTCTTCTTGTGACATGTTGAGCTGCTTCTGGTTCATCTTCTTCCATAGCAGAAATGGTGCAGTCTTCTATGGTATCAACAGCTATTGCTACTCTTCTTCCCTCGCAATCCTTCTCTATATTTTCTACTTTACCTTCAGCCACTGGTTTCCTCTTTGGTACAAAAGCCACTGATCTTGGAAGCTCAACCATAGGTTCTACCACAGGCTCATCTCTTGTCCGAATCATGTTGAGAAAGTCCATGTATGCTTTCCGGTTAGATTCTTCATCAACCTCCCCTGAATCGAATGTATATCGAGTGTATTTTGAAGGGTTCCGCATATAATCTGGAATCCCAGTCGGATAGTCAGCCTCTACATTATGTTCGTTAGGAGAACTAGTCTCCATCACAGAATCTTTGTCACCTTCAGTTGAGTTGTCATCTTTGATATCAGAACTAAACCGAACACGCTTCGGCAACTTAGAATCATTTGCCTGGTTTTCTTTCCTCTTCAATATCGGTTTCAGCCCACTATCATCTGAAGAGCCACCATTTGTCTCCTTGGCAGTCCCAAATAAGATATCTTCAGACACCACGAGAGCTTTCCCGTTTTCCGTAGACATGCACACATTATCCTGAAGTTCCTGCAAAAAGAGTCCATCTTCATTTAGCTAACACGCCTCTAGTGATTATACAATAAACATGCTATCGCAAATTTCAAAAAAGTCAATAACAGAGTTGTTAACGACTCTGAAGTGTCAAACACAGTTAAAAAGGGGAAGAGTAAAGTAAGTACCTCAGAGACATGTAAAGAATTCAACTTGTTAACAGCTTCAGCGTCTTCTTTAAGTCTAAGCTTTGCTGCGACAAGATTTGCACGAGGGTCCTTCTCTCTTTCTTTGAAAGTAGATGGAAGCTCCACCCACTCGTCTGCTTCAGTCTCATAGTCGTTCACATCCTTCATGTAACCATACTCTTTGTTGCCTAATGCAACTTTGTCATTGTCATCTTCCTCTGCCTGACAATATAAAACAATACTAAGCTTAGCCTTGGGGATACTGAAAAAAAACACCGCCATCGCAGTTCAACCTTAAATATATAAATACAAATAAATACCTCCATATCTAGAGTAGAGTCCATCCCGATAGAGTTTTTGATCTCCCACTCCTCGTCGTTGTAATCGTTCGGCTTCTGCAATCCACTGGACTGTCCTTCTTCCCCATCGACGGAAACATTCGTCGGTTCATTCTCCTGCCTTCGTTTATCCGGGGAGCTGCTCGAGGGTTCAGACACTTCCTTTTCTCCGCTCCGTTCGTTGCTATCGATCTCTTCTTCCGCGAGACACCATAGAGAGCTCACAGGCGCTTTAGACGCGGATGATGATGCAAGAGATCCAAAAACCTTGTCGATCCTCACTCTGAAACTTTCATCCATTGCACGAACGAAGTTGGGCACGACGATGGCAAAAAAAAAACTGGTGAATTTTATTCGCTGTCGGGATATATATGCTCTTGTAGCCAGCCAAACCCAACCGACCATTTTACTTATTTAGTTATAATGGGCTTATAAAAGTCCAGTTAAACGTATGTTGGGCTTCTTAAAAAAGGTCTAGCCCATTTAACTTTAAAATCGTACTCTCGTGCTTGTCGCCCATCTCACTAAAAGTTACACGCGTCAGCGTGCTTTGCTGATGCAATATTTAATCATAAGCAGCTGCAGGCTGCAGAATAATTCCGATTTCCTCACTTTTATTTTGTCTGATGATTTTATGATCCGTATGTTGGAGCGTAACGTCAGTTCTAAGGTTTGTGTATGGATAAGGGTCACTTATTAAAGTAAGCAAGAAGAAAATTAAAAAAAGGACAACATTTTCGGAAATAAAGTTGAGAGTTTGAGAGTTGAGAAAGGCCACCAAATCTTTCTTCTTCCTCGTCACTCCAATTGAGTGGACTAAACACAGTTCGAGTTCGAGACAATGGATCTTCCCAGGTTTCTGTGCTGGGTTGTTTTCTTTCTGGGAGTTTCACTAGCAGAATCCAGGTACATAGCCTACAATACTTCACATACCATAGTTCCCGGAAAACTTAATGTCCATGTGGTTCCTCACTCCCACGATGATGTTGGTTGGCTCAAGACCGTTGACCAGTACTATGTCGGCTCTAACAACTCTATTCAGGTCCTGCCCTTTTTATTTTCTTCTTCTATCTGTTTACGAATCAGATTTTTGTTCTACTTACTTAGTTTTTGTTTCTTTTTTTGCTCGTAGGTGGCTTGTGTTCAAAATGTGCTGGATTCAATTGTTCCTGCGCTGCTCGCTGATAAGAATCGCAAATTCATTTATGTTGAACAGGTAAATTTGGTTTCTTTACCCTACTTGATTCGTGGAAGCTGGTAGCTTTTTGTTGACTAGGCCTGTAAATGAAGATTTAGGGGAGAAATTATTTGTACACGTTAGTTAATTTGGTGTGGACAGTCTTTGGAGTTGAATGACGGTTAGTTTCTGATGAATGCAGGCGTTTTTTCAGCGATGGTGGAATGAACAGAGTGAGACAATTAAGCGTATTGTGAAGGATCTGATACACTCAGGCCAGCTAGAGCTCATGTATTAGTTTCTTTCAGTGTGCTTTCTTGATATCACACTTCCTTGTCTCTTTTCGTTAAGTAGTAATTGCCTCTTCTGTAGAAATGGTGGTATGTGTATGCATGATGAAGCAGCACCACACTATATAGACATGATTGATCAAACAACCCTCGGGCATCGATTCATCATCAGAGAGTTCAATGTGACACCAAGAATTGGTTGGCAGATTGATCCTTTTGGACATTCTGCAGTGCAGGCTTACTTGCTAGGCGCAGAAGTAAGCTCCTCTCTGGACTTTCATTTTAGTTTTATGCTTATTTTTGGATACAGAGGTGTGAAGATATTGATTTATACAGGTTGGCTTCGACTCAGTCTTTTTTGGCCGAATAGACTACCAAGATAGGGAAAAGCGAAAAAAGGAAAAGAGCCTTGAAGTTATATGGCGGGGATCTAAGAGTCTCGGTTCTTCTTCACAGGTAAAACACAAAGCAAAAAATTTCATGGTAGTTTATACTATGGATTTCACTGGATATTCATTTTCTTTTGCAAATATTGATCTGACTTTATACAGATTTTTGCTGGTGCTTTCCCTGAGAACTACGAACCTCCACCTGGTGGCTTCTATTACGAAATCAACGATGATTCCCCCGTTGTCCAAGTATTTTCCTTGGCAGTTGACTACACTTTCTGTTGTGTTTTATTCTATTCCTATGTAAGTTGTGCCTCTTAATCTTTGAAGGATGATCCTGACCTGTTTGATTACAATGTTCAAGAACGAGTGAATGCCTTTGTAGCTGCAGCTTTGGGTCAGGTAGATTTGTAGAATTTCTCTTTTGTTAGAATTTTCTGTTACAGTTTTGTGACATTGTTCTCGGTATCTGCAGGCCAACATTACTCGAACAAATCACATCATGTTTACCATGGGAACAGATTTCAGATACCAGTATGCACATACTTGGTTTCGACAAATGGACAAACTTATTCATTATGTTAACCTAGTAAGTCATCAAAGATCTGTATAAATTATTATGTTCCTCTTTGTATCTCCAGAAATTTGTCTGTGTGAATTTATAGTAAGCTAGATGATTAGAACCAAACTGCATATCTTTAATTCGTGAACCCTGAATTATTTTAGGATGGGCGTGTCAATGCTTTCTACTCTACCCCTTCCATATATACAGATGCAAAACATGCGGCAAATGAGGCTTGGCCCCTGAAAACAGAAGACTATTTCCCGTGAGTTGGGTCTGCATTTCTTAATTCCATCCAAAATTTGCTTAAATATTAAACCAATCTTTACTTCAGTTACGCAGATCGTATAAATGCTTACTGGACTGGATATTTTACAAGTAGACCAGCACTTAAGCGTTACGTCAGAGTGATGAGTGCCTACTACTTGGTATTTGTTCTTTTAAATTTTGAATGATACACTTTAAGTTGTGTATTTTTTTTATTTTTTTTAATCTATGTGTATAACTTGAGAGTTTAGGCAGCAAGGCAACTGGAGTTTTTCAAAGGGAGAAATGAGAAGGGTCCGAACACAGATTCGTTAGCAGATGCACTAGCAATTGCCCAACATCACGATGCTGTTTCTGGTACATCGAAACAGCATGTGGCTAATGATTATGCAAAAAGACTAGCAATAGGCTATGTGGAGGTAGAGTGCCATCTTCCCTTGTGAATTGTGGTTCTCTAGTGGCCTGTTTGCTCTATTTGCATGTCAATAAGACCTCTTCACCTTGCAGGCTGAGAGTGTGGTTGCTACTTCTCTTGCTCATTTGACTAAAGTAGAATCTGCCCTGAATCCAACCTTCCAACAGGCAAATAATCTCCTAGCATATATGTATTTCTCAGAATTATTGAATCATCAATCTTGTGAAGGCTTACATGACATCCGTTCAGTAAAAGTACCCACCCTTTTCTCTTAGTAACAGTTTTGCCTTCCTTTACAGTGTTTGTTACTGAACATAAGTTACTGTCCCTCAAGCGAAATCAACTTATCCGACGGAAAAAGTTTGGTAAGCAAAACTTATTCTCCCTCTAGATTCTCAAGTCATCTATACTAGCACTATGTGCTTCCTTCCCGTAGCTTACAGTTATCTTTCCTCTCTGTAGGTCGTATTGGCTTATAACCCACTAGGATGGAAGCGAGTGGACATTGTCCGGCTTCCTGTAAGTCAATCAAGTTCTTGAATGTTAAAATCACTATTATGTATCTTATAACGGATCTTTAATAGGTTGTGGCTGGAGACATTGCGGTACATGACTCTGAGGGACACGAAGTAGAGTCTCAACTCATTCCATTTACTGATGAATATGTGGCCTTAAGGAACTATCATGTAGAGGCATACTTAGGTCAAAGCCCTACACAGGTGCCAAAGTATTGGCTCGTGTTTTCAGTTAATGTGCCTCCGCTTGGCTTCACTACTTATACTATTTCCACTGCTAAGAAAACAGGTACGATACAGACATATATATTTGGTCTAGTGGAGCAAGCTTTTAACCTTGATCACTTATACAATCAGTTTTTGTTTCCAAATTTAGGTGGGTATTCTAGCAAATCATACGTCTCCAGAGTCCAACAAGGCGAACAATCAATAATTGACGTTGGCCATGGGCATCTGAAGCTTAGTTTCTCCACTGATCAAGGGAAAGCAATCAATTATGTTAACAGCAGAACCTTGGTATGTCATTATTTTCTAACACTATCTGGCGGTGATCCTTAAAGATCCTGATAAAAGTCTTCTGATTTTTTGTGGTAAAGATGACAGAACCAGTCAAACAGACATATAGCTATTACGCTGCATACAATGGATCAAATGACAAAAAACCTCTTATACCTCAGGTACAAGGAGTCTTTTTTCTCTTGTCTCAACACGTACCTTTCAATGGCTAAGTTTAGTACACTTATTCCAAGTTCCCCTGGTCTACTTTTCTGGTTTGCAACCATTAGAACTCGGGTGCGTATGTTTTCCGTCCAAATGGCACATTCCCCATCCGCCCAGAAGGACAGGTTTATACTCCCGTCTGAAAGTGTTGATCTTCCAGACGAATTATAGAAAATAAATTAGATGTTAACCTGTGGATCAAGTTTCAGGTTCCTTTGACTGTTATACGTGGGCCGCTAGTGGATGAAGTACATCAACGAATAAATCCGTGGATATCACAGGTACCCACAGTTTCAGTGTGTTCTCCTTGCCCACTACATTGTTTGCTTCTACAGACTCTTCGAATCTACCTTAGTTTAAACTGTCATGTGGCTTCTTAAACTCTGTTTGAACCTGTAGAAGTGCATATTGATTCGTTTACTGTCTGACCTTTTGTAATTGTCTGCAGATAAATAGAGTTTACAAGGGCAAGGAGCACGTGGAAGTTGAATTTATTGTGAGGCTGATGCATAACTATTCCAATACCGTTTTAAATATCTTACATTCCATTATAAAGGCTATATGATTGTTTGGATATTTAGGTTGGTAATATACCGATTGACGATGGAATTGGCAAAGAAGTCGTAACCCAGATCTCAAGTTCCCTGAAGAGCAATAAAACTTTCTACACAGACTCAAGTGGACGTGACTATATCAAAAGGGTATGATGTCCATTTTACCTTCTTTTGTCCATGTTTTCTTAATTGTTCTGTTCAAGGATAAACTGAAAAAGTTGTCTTGCAGATCCGTGATTATAGGTCAGACTGGAAACTAGAAGTCAACCAACCTGTTGCAGGAAATTATTACCCGGTATGTATGTAACTGACAGTGATCAAATGATCGTGGATTGAATGGGACCAAATCAGTTGGGTAATAATTCCATATATATGTTTGTCAGATAAATCATGGAATTTACTTGCAAGACAGTAAGAAGGAGTTTTCAGTGATGGTGGACAGAGCCTTCGGAGGGTCGAGCATAGTA